TTTTGCCACCGGATGGTCCGGCAGGGCACCGTGCCATCTGGCACAGGGATGCCCCTCACGTGGTAGGGGGATGCTCTGGCACGTGACTCTTAGACACCCTGATCCCCAAAATTTTAGAGGGGGGAAAAACAACCCTTTGCACAACATGGGTTTGTAAAGGTGTGTTTCCAGCTGTACCTTCCCAGTGCTGCTTGTTGCTCCGATTGCTCCCAGGTGGTATTTACATGGGTGAGCAACCTCAGCTTGAAATACTCTGGTTGTGGGTTGGCCTTTTCAGAAACAACTTTTTTGGTGAGTATTTTCATCAAAAAGTCACTGTCTGTCCACAGGGGGAAAAAAAACCTAAACAAAACACACAAACCAACACCAGAAGCCCGAGCCAGAACAAACTCATGTTGAATGGAAGTGTTTGTGGGTTGGTTTTTTTTTTCAGGCTGGTTTTTATCCCCCACACCTTCCACTGGGCTCTTCGTTTGCCAAGCAGCTTAATTACACTCTAGTGAAAGCCTTTTCTCCGAGTGGCTCTAATTGCAGGCTTGGGAAATTGGTCTCATTTTTTGCAGAGCCTGGTCAGAGCTGGGAAGTGCTTCCCCTGCCAGGTGTGACCCTCTCCATTTCCCTCCCTTGCAATTTTAGCCAATTCTCCTGCTTTTCTGCCCAAACCCACCCCCCGTAGCTCCCACAGGAGGAGCAGCAGCCCCTTGCTGGAGTGCCAGGGTGCTGTTTTCCCCAGGGGACAGGCAGGCATCTGGCTGGCTCAGAACCTGACTCAGCTGCCCCTGAGTCACAACCCCATGGCCTGCAATTAGGGGCAGGCACAGTGGAATTCCCCCCTCCATTCCCAAAACCTACAGCTCCCACCACAGGGGCTGCGCACTGCCAGGGAAAAGCTTCCTGAGGAAGCCAGCGGGGATTTCGGACAGGTTGCATCATCCCTCTCCAGCCCAAGTGACAACAGGGAGACAGCAGGTTATCAATTAAGACAAGCTTTTATTAGAAAAGTAAAAAAAAAAATCCATCCCGACACGATTGCATAGGAAGTCTTGCACTTGAACATCAAGTGTATGAGTGTAAACTGTAACCAATGAAGCACCCATGGCACAGCACAGCGAGGGGTCCTGCCCTCCATCCCCGCATCCCTTGCACACCCCTCTCCCACCACTCTTCCCTCTCATGATCAAAGACGCAACGCAATTTCAGACACGCATCCCCCCCTCTCCCACCCCCCCACCCCCCTCCTGCCTTACTGGGAGCCCACGCAGGGCCGCCCAGGTGCCAGCAGTGGGGTTTTGTCTTTGATCCAGATCCACAGCCCAGCTGTCACTCACTCCCACACACACCCTCCCCCAGAAACCCCATTGATTACAATCCTCGTTACAAAAAAAACATGATTAATCAGCCAACAGGAGACCGTCTGCCCCCCCAGCAGCCCTGCTGCCGCATCCGGGAGCGCAGTCGCCGCAATCATCCCACGATCATCAACAGTGTGAAGCGATCTCCGTGTCTGCGTCCCCATCCACTCCGCATCAGGGACGCCCCGGCACAGGCAGGCGCTGCACGGGGACCCCCGCCTGCCCGAACCACT